GCTGCCGCAAAAAGGTATTGCCGAGATATATCTTGTTATCTGAACCAATAGGATCCCTGCAGTAGCTAACGGCAATCGGTTTTGTCAAGGCATCTTCAATCTGTCGAGTCCCTTAACTATAGATAGCATATGACACCCTTAGTAAACTCTGCGGGCAGTTAAGGCATAGAAGTATGACCATTCTGAAAAGTAGACTTAGATTTTCGTTAGTGACTCCCATCACTCATTCCCATAGTAGCTTGTCGTGTGAGGAGTCTAAAGTTTTTATATGCAAATCTAGTATTTACAGTTTATTTTACCTTTTTATTTTTATTTGATTGCACTACAGACAATTCATTTTGCCACAACATATCCATTTGCTACCACATTGCCATCGTTCCATTTCCATACCATCCATTCATTTTGCCACAACATTATCATTTGTATATATAATATCTCTAACTTTACTTAGATGACAGAGTAAAGTGTCATGGCAAACTTATTTGATTTCCTCCAATCCCTATGGAGAACGATACTCACTCATCACTTTATTACTTGTTCGATTGTGTATACTTGCACATAATTCCGCATCCATAATTAGTACTCACAAAACGCGGACAGAAGGCGATCTAGAATGGCCATCCAAGTGATAATATTGAGCTTATGTATGTGAAGAGGAAACCAAATCACTTTATGCCAAGAAACCTTGTCTCTATGAACTCTAATATTTTCATGTTTATATATATTATTACTATTTTGTACATTTTTTTTATTATTTTACTATTAAGAGTAGTATAAACTTTATATATCTCATATGTTACAAATTAATTGTGTATTTATATATTAATATGTAGTGTTCAAATAAATTTTTTGTCGTATTAAATCATTTTGTATGCTAATGTATTGGTATATATGTGTCTGTGTTCAAATAATTTTTTATACCATATTATATTATTTTTGTGTATATAGTATTAATATATATGTGTTGTGTCAAATCATTTTGTATATTAACTTATTGATATATGTGTTGTGTTCAAATGAGTTTTTTTTTTTTTGGGGTTACAACAGCTGAGCAGTAAAAACTACAGCTTCACCTAAGTTCAAGCCCTTATCGAGTAGCCGTTGAATTCCATAAGGAGGATGGCTCAAAATGGTGGGACCCAGGCTGATAGATCTTTCAATCAAAGCCAGCAAGTCGGCCACAGCATTCGTCTCGCGATTACCATAGACGATCTTAATTTTCCAATTGAGATTAAGAAGCTCACGAATCCTTCGAATAATGGTAGTCTCGTGCTGTTGGGATAGGAGAGTTGAGGATCCGCACGGCTTCGCTATTGTCAATCTCCACTTCAGTGCATCTTGTGCCCTTCTCCCAAGCAAGCCCGAGACCATTAAGGATCGCCCAAAGCTCAGCATGGAGGGCTGAGCACCGACCAATGTTCCGAGCAAACCCCGCTGTCCACAGTCCTGCACTATTTTGTATTGTATCAAATTTTACATTGTTTTCATAGACAGAGATTTAAAAATCATAAAAAATGTCATTTATTTAATTTATAATTTATAATATAATTTATAAAAAATTAAATCTACTCAATAAACACTTGTCATCATTCTTTTTCTTTTTTTTTTGAAAGGTTGTTTTGTATTATTTATTGCAAAGAGCCTACAAAGCGAAAACATCAGTGAGTGTCTCATTAAAAAATATCTTTAAACCTATTTTGAAAGAAAAAGAGTGCACCGATCTGATGTTTAAAAACAATCAAAATATTCGATGACCATACCACCACTGTACGCAGCTGTAAACAACAAATTGCAGCTCAAACTCACTGCAGCAACTAAGAAAAGAAGTTCCAGGCACCAAATTGCATAAACAATTGCATCCGATACCAACTAACTTTTATCACACATGCCACATCATTAAAATTCACCAATTGAATACACTTAAAGCGCCAAACACCAAGCTACAGGAACCAAAATAACACCCTAACCCCGAGAGAAGAATCAAGCACCTACAACCTAAATATCAGCGCAACGTCAATAGAACACCATTTAACCCCATCTAGCCATATGGATCCAATCCAAGATGAAAATAAACCACCACAGACCTCCAGAAACACCAACCCAAAGCAGAAAGCAATAAACCAGAAAATGAAACAACCAAATATCGATAGCAGAAATAATAGGCCAAATGCTCACAATGGGTCTTCACATTTCAAGGATAATGTTCACAAGTATGAACCACTCATCCCAGCTTCACTTCAAGAATACCATCACTTATCGATCTAATGAATTTCTCCATAGCAGGTTCTCACGCTCCAGCTTAAAAATGGAGGCCGAAATAAACCCGAAGAATACCATCACTTTATACAAACATAGTCACAATTGACCAATACCACAGAAGAATCCAACATTAAGTCCCCGGGCAATCACAGACTAATTTAACAGGGGAAAGCCACTTAGGAAGTCAGTGACGGATGGTGCTAAAACAGATCACTTGCATTTGCACCAATGGCCTATCCTAAGAGTCGAATACTCAAATAGTTGATTCTCACATCATCTTTTATTATTAAACAAAACGTCTTTCCTATAGAGCCACAAGCTCCACATTACCCCAAAGAAAACTAACCTCCACACGGGTTTGTAAGTGAAAGAAATATGCTGGTCCTCCTAAACAAAGAGATGTAATGGCACAATAAGTGATCGACCGATTCTTGCTCTTCACAGCACAAAACACAAAGACACCGATCCAAATTTAATACACCCCTATTTGCTAGGCTCAGCATAGTCAGAATTCTTGAAATGACCGCTTTCTATACAAACGCCTCAACCTTGGGTGGCGCAAGGTTCGCCCAAACAAGTTTCCAAACGCTATCTTTTTCCTTCCCATCACATGTTGCTAATTCACAAAATTTCTTCGGTTTGTATATATCATCCGAGCATCCCTTCCAAATCAGATGATCCACCACAACAGCCGCACTTGCTGCTTTGCTGATTGTTCCCAAAAACTCATCTCATATGCTCAATTCCCAATCAAAAAGAACCATCCTAATCGCAATTTTCCAACTCCAAATTCACACACCTTGCCCGATTTCTTGACAGCCACGGCATAAATACGCGGGAAAACAACTTTTAAAGATGAGACATCCGTCCAATTATCCTCCCAAATGTCCACTAATTTGTCGTCACCCACAACACACTTTAAGTCTTTTTGATAAAATATTGCCATCCAAATTTAGAGGCCTAGTAATGTGTCTCCACACCCACGATCCTTTTGTCTAATGAGTATGTTTCGGTTTTAAGGACAAGGGATTCTATCCATATTTGGCAACAATGACTTTTCTCCACATGCAATTTGATTGGAATCCATATCTCCATATCCACTTACTGGTTTCTTATTTTTAAGTCAAAGAAGCCCAAACCACTAAACATCTTTGGAACGCATGCGGACTCCCACTTCACCCAGTGAATCGTTTCCAAGTTTGCTTCTTCAAAAACAATAAGGTCGTCCGCAAACTGGAGGTGTGATATCCGCATATCCGATTTGCCCACTAGTACCCCTTATCAAATCTAAATCCGAGACTTTACAAAACAGACCACTAAGCGCCTCTCCCTCGAGGTTGAACATAAAGGGTGAAAGAGGGCACCCCTGCCTTAAACCTCTTGTAGTGCTGAAATTCTCAAAGTAAATACCATTTACCAGAACAGAGACGGAGGCTGTTGAGATGCACGTATAAATCTAACGTCTTCATCTTTTACCAAAACCTATCATTTTCATAATCAAATCGAGAAATCCCCAGTCCACCGAATCATAAGCCTTGCTAAAATCTGCCTTGAATATTACCGCTTCACGCTTTCGGCGAGATAAGTCCTCTATTAGCTCGTTTACAATCAGCGAGCATTCAACAATTTGTTTCCCCACAGTGAACGCGAACTGGCTCTCCCCGACTACCTCATTAATGCATCTGACCAATCTTTTTGCGAGAACAGGAGCCACCAATTTATATATACTGTTAATGAGATAGATGGGTCTATAGTCTTCAGTTTTCTCTGGGTTTGACTTCATCGGATTAGTGCGATAAACAACTTATTGAAAGATTTCTCCTTCACCTTCCCTAAAAAATTCGTTGAAGAAATTGACGACTTCACCTTTTACCAATTGTCAAAACTTCTTATAAAAGTCTAAATTGAATCTATCGGGGCCGGGAGCTCTTGACCCGTCTGCAGAGTTAACCGTATGCCATATTTCTTCCTCCGAGAACGGCTCTTCAATAGCGCGCCTGGATGCTACTCCCAATTTCTTCAAATTGACACCAAATTCTTTAACGGGGATAGTCTTGCCTGTGTTAAAACAATTTCGGAAATGACACATGAAAGCATCAAAGATTTGTTTCTGCTTGGATATCTCCTTCTCCCCTACCCGAATGACCAATATATGGTTTTTCCTTCCCATGATTGCAGCTGTAATGTGAAAAAAAATTGGAGTTCATGTCGCTCTCTTTGAACCATTTTAATCTCATCATTCTAAACTAATATTTTTTTTTATTTTTCATTAACAAAATACTTCATAATTTTTTTGTAAAAAAAAACATAACATTACCTAAACTATATATTTTTGTAATACTTTAAATATATGGCAGAAAAAACGCAAACCCAATTTTTTTTTACTTCTCCATATCTATATATAGACCTTAAAATACGTGAACTCATAATTTACAGGTTCTTCACACGTTTGCCTTGAACTTCTGTAACGAACTCTAGTTTTCTTTTTGGATCTTTTGGCGTGAATGAGTATTTTTGCCAATGACGTATGATGGGGAGATTGCTTAGATATTATATCGTTGTTTGCATGTTGTGATTTTCTGTCAAGGTTGACATTCATCACCTGTTATTATCGTTTATTTGATTTCATCTGTACATAAATTTATTCATCACTCAATTCTCGTTTGCTTGTTTTCATGTTTAAGGTTTTGTTTTCATCTTTTTATAGATTTCAATTTGAACTCTTAGCTTCCTGATTTTACACAATGGACCGGGAGCGCAGCATTATCGAATTCGATCAAGGATGGGCAGATATACAGAAAGGGATCTCAAAGCTGAAGAGACTATTGGAAGGGAAGGCAGAAACTCCAGTTTCCATAAGAGAATATACGATGATTTACACGTATCCTCCAATTACTTATTTTCAGTTGTATTGAATTTTGTTTGGCCACTTAATTATTCATCATCTTCCTTAATTTGCAGTACAATCTACAACATGTGTAATCAAAAGGAGCCTCATGATTATTCTGAACAGCTTTATAACAAGTACAAGGAGACACTAGATGAATATATCACTTCAACAGTAAGGAATTTGTTATTTTACAGATTATATTGTTCGTTAAACATTTTAGTTACTAGTTTCCTTCGTAAATTGCATTTTAAGCCTATGGTTTTACTGAAAATTGGTTTGTATATTCTTCTTTCAATAGTTTTCTACTCAATAGAAACCCTATGAAAGTTATTTATCCATCTTCTTCGGTAAATATGCCTTTTGAATCTCAAGTTTCCTCCTCTTTGAAAATCAGGTATTGCCACCTTTAAGAGAGAAGCATGACGAGTTCATGCTAAGGGAGCTTGCTCAAAGATGGCTGAATCATAAAGTAATGGTTATGTGGCTAACACGGTTCTTCCAATACCTCGATCGCTACTTCATTACCCGGAGATCGCTGCCTGCACTTAATGTAGTTGGGATGACCTGTTTCCGCGATCTGGTTGGTTATTGAATTTTGCTAATTATCTTTATCGAATACTAAACATGTTGCAATGACTTGATTTCCAAAGTTCTGATGCCTGTTAATTTCAGGTATATGACGAAGCGCATGCTAGAGCCAAAAATAGTGTACTTGTCCTTGTAAGAAGAATGTTTTATCCATTTTTTTCGAAGCATGAGATTGGCATTCAAAACAAAATGATTTCGAAGCATTCTTGCTTCAGGAAACTCCTATACTATTCACAAAAGGCATCAGAATGGATTGAGGAAGATACTTGCCCAGATTACATGTTGAAGGAAAGAGCCTAACTGTTCACCATTTGTTTTTATTACAAGGTTTTTCACCCTGGTTGACAAGGTTGGTTCTAATCGTTTTCATTTGAATGATAACTGCAGTGTGAAGAATGCTTGAAGAAGGAAGCGGACAGGGTGTACAATTACCTGCATTTAACCACTGAGACAAAATTAACAGAGGTCAGTCGAATGTTTGGAATAATGTTTGATGTGTGACATAAAGTTTCTATCGATTTTTGTTCTTTGTGTAGAAAGTGGAACATGAGTTGTTGGCTGTACACGTAACAGAGCTACTTGAAAAGAAGGATTCAGGAATCAAGGCTTTGTTTAGAGATGAAAAGGCATATAGCTCACCTTGTTGTTTTGCTAGAAATGCTCATTCTTCTGGCTGTTTATTTCGATAACTGAATACATTAGATAGTTATTGGCTTTGTTTATCCTCTTTAGGTGGATGATATCTCTCGGATATTCAGGCTCTATAGTAAAATACCTGAAGGCCTGGAGCTTGTTGCTAATGCACTCAAGCAGGTCTGAATTTCTGTTTACCAGCTCTGCAAGCTAAATGACCATCTATCTCATGTTACTTTACGGCTTTACTGGCTCTTTATGAGTTTCTTTTCTGCCCTTTTTCTTTCTTTTTTGGCAGCATGTTACTGTTGAGGGTACAACCCTTGTTCAACAGGTAGAAGATGCTGCAAGTAAGCAGGTTAGTTTGTTGTTTCCCTTCTCTGATAGTAACAACTATAATTTCTGGATATGTTTACTAATTTGTGTGTTTTTTAGGGTAAAAAATCTTTTCTTTTGAACTAACAGAATGGGTGCAAGACATCATGAGCAATGTCTAAGCATACACCTTGCTATTTCTCTTTACAACAGTGAAAAAAGAAAGAAAGAATGAGGGATGGAGAGAAAACGGATGATACATAATTTTTTGTTTTGACTACTCAGCTGTCAATCTCTTGTTGCTTATAGTCGGTCATTTTCACAGGACTCAAATGCTCCTGGTCGGAACGAACAGGTAGATTGTTATCGGATCCTTATACCGAAATTAATCGAGCTGCAAGATAAGTATAAGATATATCTGAACAGCTGCTTTAAAAGTCATGATCTGTTCCAAAAGGTTTGTGTTGGAATACCTAAACTTTTACATGAATCATGTTCAATCATCTCATCTAACACAAGCTTTGTTGAAATGTTCAATAGGCCTTAAAAGAGGCTTTTGAGGTATTTTGCAACAAAACTGTTAATGGCAACGTAAGTGCAGAGAATTTGGCATCTTTCGCTGATCATATCCTCAGGAAGGGTGGGATTGAGAAACTAGGCGATGAGGCCATTGAAGAAACACTTGAGAAGGTAACTTTCTCAACCTTTTGATGCTAAATTCATAGTGATCTGAAATTGATTCTAAACGATCTGTTTGGTTCCTGAAGATAGTTGAGCTGCTGGATTCTATCATTGAGAAAGATGTCTTTTCTGAATTCTACAGGTGAGACTATTATTATTATGTTTTCTATTAGTTTTATATGTGCATGTTAAAAATATGAAATGCAATGAGTTTATATGGTACATTTTGATCCTTACTTTATGGTGCAATTATTAACAGGAAAAAACTTGCTCGGCGGTTGCTTTTTGACCGCAGTACTAACGATCATCATGAAAGGAGTATTCTGAGTAAGCTAAAGCAGCGGTGCGGTGCACTGTTCACCATGAAGATGGAGGGCATGGTAGTTGCCTCTTTTATTTGATTGCATTGATCATGGTTTTAATTGTGATTAAGCATGTGTTCTACCTTTCTAATAGGTCACAGATGTGGTACTAGCAAAGGAAAACCAGATCAGCTTTCATGAATATCTTAGGAACCCAGATTTACATCCTGGTGTTGATTTTATAGCTACCGTTCTTACCACAGGATTCTGGCCGAGTTACAAATCACTAGATATCATTCTCCCTACTGAGATGGTAATGAAGGATGGAAGTAATCCGGCATGTTTTTAGAAATTCTTTTTCTTTTCTTATCTTAAGTAGAGAATATCAATGTTTCAGGTCAAGTGTATGGAAGTTTTCAAAGGATTTTATGAAAAGAAAACTAAAAAAAGAAAGCTTACATGGATACACTCACTGGGAACTTGCCACATCAATGGCAAGTTCGAGCCGAAACAAATAGAACTGATTGTTTCAACTTATCAGGCTGCTGTCCTCTTGCTTTTTAACGAGTCTAATCGGCTAAGCTATACAGAGATGGTGTCTCAGTTGAACTTGACTCACGAGGACATGGCCAGGCTACTGCATTCACTGTCATGTGCCAAATATAAGATTCTAAATAAAGACCCGACCTCAAAAAGCATCTCCCAGAGTGACACCTTTGAGTTCAACTCCAAGTTTACCGACAAGTTGAGGAGGATCAAGGTGTTTTGCAACTCTCTTTTTTCACATTTGTATCTGTTGGGATTGAGAAGATTTGTAAAACTAAAACCTACTTGTGAATTATCCGATGTAGGTTCCTCTACCAACAGTGGATGATAGGAAGAAAGTTATTGAAGAAGTTGATAAAGACAGGCGTTATGCTATCGATGCCGCGGTTGTGCGCGTAATGAAGAGTAGGAAAGTTTTGTCCTACCAACAATTAATTTCCGAGACCGTCCAGCAGTTGAGTCACTCGTTCAAGGTATTGTTATTAACAAGTATTTGAAGGATCATATCTTCATGTTAATGTCTGAATATAAATATCTGACACTTTAATTTCCAAAAAAAAAATGTAAGAGTAGAAACATATCTATATTTGATATTTGTGTTGGAGTCGGAATAATTTTGTTATTACTAATAAGATATATTGGTGGGAAATTGCAGCCTGATATTAAAGCCATCAAGAAGCGGATAGAAGATCTTATCATACGAGACTATATGGAAAGAGACCCTGACCAGCCAAACATGTTTAGGTACTTGGCCTAAACATCGCTCTTTTGCTTCCTATACATGTTTAGGGACCCTCACCATTCCATTGATATTTAAAATTTTCCTTTTTTGCGAATAAACAGATAAATTATTTTCAATTAAACTATAGTAGCAATGTTAAATTCTCAGAATAAATTATTGTTATTACTATTACTTCTTCTACTTTTATTATTATTTTTATTTAAATAGTTGGTTAAAATAAAATAATAATAATTTCAATTTTTTAATTTAATCATAAGTCATATATATTTATATTAGAGTTTTTTTTATTAATGATTAACTATCATATTTTTTTAATAATCTGTATGATTATAAAATAGTATTTGTCCACAACTTCATATAACATTAAAATAAATATATCATGCAAAACATAAATAAAAAATCACTATCGTAACACTCATAAAATATTAAACCGAATTAAGTACAAGTTAAATTTTTTGAAAGATTATAAAATAACTACCACGCATTAGTAATAGTAATAACAATAATAATAATAATAACACTATTGAAGCAACTTATTCTTCGAGACATAATTTGTTGTTGAAGCAACTTATTCTTCGACACATAATTTGGCCCCAGATTTGGTATAGGCTACCGGTACTAGGTTGCTTGCTTCATATCCATGATATATATATATATATTGTTTATACATTACTTTTAATGGCAGCACTATAACCATTGACCCTATCATAGTATCTGTTCCAAAGCATAACACCTCCATACTTGGGTGATTTCTTGATCTTCGGAAGTATTTTAGAGTTCAACACACCAGGTGGAATGTACCCACTTCCCGCCGCCGCCTTGGCCGCCGGTAACCCTAAAAACAACTTCTTTATTGCCTTAATACTAGCCCACCGCCTCCACGAAGCTAGAATCTTGCTTGTGTTACCTGGACTGTATTGGCAAGGTGGATTGTTGTAAAACTGAACCCATACATAATCGAAAAGTCCAGTACTAAGTGCCGACCCTAAGAATCTCTCAGGGATCGTTGGACACTGAGGAGCAGCCGACAGGTAAACTTTCTTACCAGGCTTACTATATGCAGCCAAATAACGTGCGAGATCATCCCAGTGTTTAGTGGAGCCGAGCTCTATATCAAAGTCTATACCGTTCAACACGGCGCTTCCTAATGGCCGGGAAGGCGATTTTCCACCCAAGAAGTTGTTGTATAAGTAAGCGGCTACCCTCTTGGCGTCGGCTTTAGAATTCAGAGAGTATTGGCCGATGCCACCGCCGATTGAAAGCATTACCTTGATGCCTTTCCTTTGGCAGTTTTTTATGGCCGAACTTGCAACCCTGCAACCACCATTTGCAGGATTGCAATGGCCTGCAAGATTCAGCACCGGGGATCGTCCTCCACCGAACTTGTTGAGGAAGGCTATGTTGACGTATTTGTAGAGTCCAGTGTTACAGGTTTGGTTCAAGGTCGTCTCGGAGCCGCTTTGACCCCAATAGATCGCGATCCCCCCGCCATGGGAGACCTGGATCAGGGCTAGGACTAGGAGGGAGACGAGAAGTTGTGTATTTGTCGACATTGTTGAGACTTGACTGTGTTGTTTGATAATGGCGATGCAAAAGGTGGATTATATAGAGTTGAGGAGAGCTCAGCCCAAGCGAGACGTTGTCACAACTCTCATTAAAATATGAGCGAAGACCCATTTTTGGCGGTTCACTGCCCTTTCATCTTTTCATTTTATTACTTCATTTGTTTATATTGACAGATAAACTCGAAAGACTAATTCATCTGTTTTTTTGTTCACTATAGTTTAATCTAAACTTCAATGTCAAGCTAATATTTTTCGTCCTTGATCGTCTTTCTTTAAACCAGAGGCGGAACTGTGTGGGTCAGGAGTTTTCAAATTTTGAAAAACTATCAGTATTCCCTTAAAAAAAAATCAAAATATTTGAAAAACTAATATATACTTATTAAAATTACTTTTACCAATATATTTTTATCTAATTCACTGGTAGTATATAAAATTATGTATCATGTGTCAAATACCAACCTTTAAAATTATTTATTATCCTATGAATTCAAGAAATGAATTATACTATAGAAAGCTTGAATTAACATGTTAACTTTGTTAATAATTTATAGAGTCTAGTTAAAATCTTTCGGTTATTATTTTTCTTCTTTCTTGAGTTTAGGTAAGAATTCTTAGAAAAAAAACATATTATCTTCCCTATCTAGCGATTATTTGTTTATCCTATTAAAGGATGAATTCATTGGTTAAACCTATTCTCCACCCCTAATTTTGCTCTTAATAAGGTATCTAATTTTTAGATGGATTTTTCTTCAATATTCAGCTTCACTTCATTATTTGTCATTTTATTATTTATAACATTCTTTACATCATTCTCTTATAGCATTATTTCAAAATAATAGATCGTTGAAATTAATAAACACATGTGAATTTATTAAGTGTCTCAGTAATTAAAGAAATATTATTATAAAATATTTATGATAATGAACTAACTAGGTATCTTATCTGTATATATATATATATATATGAAATTAATATAATAATTTATTTATATTCTTAATAATAATAGAGTAATGTAATATAATTTACCTTAAAATATGTAAACCTGTTCCTTTTCTTTCTCTTTCCTTCCATCCTTGTATTCTTTTTCCTTCCTTCCTCCTGAAGAAAGGCCACCTGTCAATTCATGAAAGGAAGACTTGTACAGTGATTCGTGTACGCTTCTTTTATATATTTGTTATATATATAAATATTCAAATAGATCAATCCAATAAAGAGAGAGAAATACAATAAATTTAGTTTTTTTATTTATTTATTTTATCGATGCCTTTATCCGCCATGCTTAATGGGATGGCAATTTGTTGCCTAAAAAACACGATATTTGTAGCGAATTATTGTCCGGACCAAAAGGTTTCATCGGATAGAAATACAATTAATAAAGTATAGGATAAATTATATGTTCAAACTATTATTTTGTTATGCTTTGGTCATCTTATTATTATTATTTTTAAATTATATCTAATATTATATTTTAATTCCATTTTGGTTACATGTCGTTAAAATAATAACAAAACTATTGGAGTGACATTTTTTATATTTTTCATGGCATGACATTATCTTATGGTGACAAGTCAGAATCATCGTTAATTTTTTAACGACGAGTGGTCAAAATGAAACTAAAACATAATGTTAGGTATGATTTTGAAATAAAAAATAGTTGAGTGACTGAAATAGAATAAAAGTGATAGTTAAGATATTCAACGTATAGTTTACCCTAATATATATACATATATCCTCATTGTTTTTATTAAGAAAGAAAAAATATCTAAGAGTTTACAACTAGATTCGTAAACTAAAGACATTATTAAGATATTCTCTTATAACCATTAATACAATAAATTAGTCAATTAAGATCATATAATGACCATAAAAGGAAAATGTGAAAAATTCGCTTAAAAAAACTCGAACAATAAGTAGATACAAACAAATCTAATTGTTATAGCAAATGAATCACAATAGAGGATTTAATAACTGAAAGATCACCGAAAATTAATCGGAGTCATTAGCTAAGCATCATAAGAAACTATCAATGAATGTAGGTTGTGCATCTAAACTCAATTAGAGGGTCCAAAATAGGGAAGAGCAGCGGGATAACAAATTAGCATCATCTTGATCAGTCGTGACGACATTAAATTCAATCCTAAGAAAAATAAATAACAAGAACGACCAAACGATCGAAAAACGTGTTATAAAGATAAAAAATATCGTAGCATAAAGATAGAGTTATTATAATAAAAAATAAAGATACAAGATAAAAAATAAAAAAGAATAAAAATTAGTGACAGACTAATATCACCGTCTACCAATTAAGAATGAAATAAAAAAATAAAGATAAAAAAAGGAACAATCATCCCAAAGACGATTTTTTTTTTCATTTTAATAATGTGAAAAATGAGACGATTCAGATCCATTTGAATTCAATACTTTTTTGTCTTATCCTTCCCATAATGTGTCGACCTCGTAAGTTTGCCTTTGAATTGTTTGTTTTTAATTATGTGTTGACTTATAATTAATTTTAAATATCAACATATTTTCGGAAACGTATTGATATTTATAAGAATATATATCTTTTATTTAATTAATAAGTTTGCCTTTGAATTGTTTGTTGTCGTTCTCAAAGTCATGGGTTCGAGTATCAGCGACTGCACATATAAATTACTTAGAACATATATTATTTTATAATCACTTTAATTTACTCAAAGAAAAAAGTTATTTAACTTTAAATTTATATATGTAGTTTTTTATAAATTTTTTTAAAATCATCATAATTAATTATAGGTTAACATTTTTTAAATATTAATTCAAAATCACGCTACTTAAAAGATAACATATTATGTATCATATTATAAAGGTTAAAGTATAATTTCAATTAAATATAATAAAAAATGGTATATAATCAATAATTGATTCATATTTCAGTGATTCATGTGCAATTATAGAATTTTGACTATAATGTTATAAATAATTTATTAGTACCTATTATTAATATATTATTTTTTTTGGTGAGTAATTTGGAGGCACATGAGGAACTTATCGGGTTGTATTTGCATGATGTGGGTAAACACAAAATGTTTAGATTGGTTGGGCCTATACTATATGTGACCTTACTAAAAAATTAGCAATATATTTTTTGTATATTACTACTCTAAATTTATTTGAGTTAATTACATCATGATTCCTTAAACTACTATTTTCATTTTAAATTGGTCTTAGATTTTTTAATATTTCAACTTTATCTCTAAATTATTATCTTCATTCTAATTTGGTCCCTAACTTTTGAACATTTCAATTTCATCCCAAACTATAGGTATTTGCTAATCACATCCCTTGTTAATAAAATAATTTGGCAAAGCTATATTATTATATGTTTGAAAAAAATAAAAGTTAGGTTAAAATATGGTTAAAATTACACATTTGGATGAATTTAAGGATGAAATTGAAAGATTCAAAAGT